TCGATAAAGCGTACCCACTGGTATGGTGTACGCTCAACCGATGCTAAGAGCTTTCCCTCAAGTTTTCCCATGAAAATGTTAGCATACGAAGGGGCCATTTTAGTACCCATTGCAGTTCCATTGATTTGTAGGTAGTTTTCTTCATTAAATTCAAAGTTGTTGAGTTTTAGGACAAGCTCCAGGAGTTGGATTAAGAAGTGTGTGGGTGGATTGTTTACAGTTCTTGTTTCCCATGCTTCGCTGCATGCCTGTAACCCTTCGTTGTGCGGTATGTTGGTGTACAAAGATGTGACGTCTAAGGAAGCAAGTAATGTATCTGGCAGTAATGGTTCACTAGCTTTGCTTTTTATGAGATAATCTGTCGTGTCTTGAAGATATGATGGTAATTTGTGGACATGTGGTCTCATAAAATGATCTAAATATTCTGATATCCTTTCTGTGGGGTGCCCGTTACCTGAGATTATAGGTCTGCCAGGGTTTCCTTGTTTGTGGATTTTGGGTAGAAGATAAAATCTACCTGCTCTTGGGTTTTCTGGGCTTAAGTAGTTTTTGGTTTGCTGGTCTATGTGTCCGCTTTGGCACGCCTCGTCAATAACATTAGTGATGATTTTTGCATATTCCAGCGTTGGATCATGGTCCAGTTTTTGGTAGAACCTAGCGTCACTTAGTTGTCTACTTGCTTCACTAATGTAGTCTTCCCTATTCATAACGACAACAGCGGAACCCTTATCTGCAGGCTTACCGGAGACCAAAAAACCTAAAGGACATCCTAGTCAGGGCCAAGCTAACAACAATCGCTAGTCAAAACCAACCTAGTCAATCTGGACCCTGTGGCGATAAAAGATGCAAAACCTGTCAACATATGATAGAGACCAAGACATTCACTAGCACAGTGACTAAAGAAAAACTAAACATGCATGGTCCAGGCAAAACGTGCAAGGCAGAGAATGTGATTTGTCTCATCACATGTGGGATCTGTGGCCTTCAGTGCGTGGGAGAGACTGAGGGGCTGCACATGGGGATAGGCCTTCATGGGTCTGATTGGATGACAAGGGGGCTGTACAGAGGCCCGGTCGCGGAGCACTTCTCCTCCCCTGGCCACACTTTCAGTGGTGTGGTGCTTGTCGCTGTTGCCGGCGGCCACAGCTGGAGTTCCGAAGCCAGGAGGGAAGGGGAATCATGCTGGATACGCCGCCTTGGAACATTGGAGCCAGGCGGTCTAGGCCGGGAGAACTAGAGAATGAAAGCTGTGCACTGGTGGAATTTAACGTTTTCTAGGTCTTCTTGTCCTTCAGTTTTTACTATGGGGGTAGCCGGTGTGGAGCCAGGTGTCCGGGATGTGATCTGCGTTACATATGTACACAAAATAGAAATAGATGTCGCTTTGGCTTGTGGACTTTTGGGGAATTGTACAACGTTTTCAGTTTCCGCGGCTGGTCTGCGCAGGCTGGTTGTGTTTGTGGTTTTGGCGCATGTGGAGATGGAGATGTGGGGGTTTGCGGACGCAACGTTTTTGTGTTTATTTGTTTGTCGTAACTATGTTTTGTATTTGCCTTTGAAAAAGACTCATTAAGAGTCGAAAGCGCTTAGGCTAGTTAGTTACTAGTTTCGTACTGTTCGTCGTCAGTTTATTGCATCTATTTTAATTAATCCCTGACAGACGTGATCCCTTGGTGGATCCAGTACGCTTGAGAGGGTTGTTATTCGCCATATGATTTGTATTCTTTATATATATATATATATATATATATATATATATATATATATATATATATATATATATATATATATATATATAAAGAATACAAATCATATGGCGAATAACAACCCTCTCAAGCGTACTGGATCCACCAAGGGATCACGTCTGTCAGGGATTAATTAAAATAGATGCAATAAACTGACGACGAACAGTACGAAACTAGTAACTAACTAGCCTAAGCGCTTTCGACTCCCAATGAGTCTTTTTCAAAGGCAAATACAAAACATAGTTACGACAAACAAATAAACACAAAAACGTTGCGTTTGTAAACCTCTACATTTCTATCTTCACATGTGCTAAAACTATAAATACAACCAGCTTGTATAGACTAGTTGCGGAAACTGAAAACGTTGTATAATTCCCTAAAAGTCTACAAGCCAAAGCGACATCTATTTTTACTTTGTGTACATATGTAACGCAGATTATATCCCGGATATTTGGTTCTATACCGGTTATTCTTATAGTAAAAATTGAAGGATAAGAAGATTTAGAAAATGTTAAATTCTACTAGTGCATAATTTTCATTTTCTAGTCTTCTTGGTTTAGACCGCTTGGTTTCAATGTTCTAAGGCGGCGTATCCAGTATGATTCCTTTTCCTTCCTGGTTTCGGAACTCCAGCTGTGGTTGTTGGCAATAGCGATAAGTATTATATCACTGAAAGTGTGGCCAGGGGAGGAGAAGTGTTCTGCGACCGGGCTTCTGTACAGCTTTTTTGTCATCCAATCAGATCTATGAAGGTTTATCCCAAAGTAGGTAAAATCATCGCAAACCACTGGCCAACCGTGCAATCGTCAGACATACTAAACCTAATACTTCCGAACAAACCTGTAGTAGCTTACCGGAGACCAAAAAACCTAAAGGACATCCTAGTCAGGGCCAAGCTAACAACAATCGCTAGTCAAAACCAACCTAGTCAATCTGGACCCTGTGGCGATAAAAGATGCAAAACCTGTCAACATATGATAGAGACCAAGACATTCACTAGCACAGTGACTAAAGAAAAACTAAACATACATGGTCCACACAAAACGTGCAAAACAGAGAATGTGATTTATCTCATCACATGTAAGATCTGTGGCCTTCAGTACGTGGGAGAAACTGAAAAGCTACACATAGTTCTTAATGAGTCTTTTTCAAAGGCAAATACAAAACATAGTTACGACAAACAAATAAACACAAAAACGTTGCGTTTGTAAACCTCTACATTTCTATCTTCACATGTGCTAAAACTATAAATACAACCAGCTTGTATAGACTAGTTGCGGAAACTGAAAACAGTGTATAATTCCCTAAAAGTCTACAAGCCAAAGCGACATCTATTTTTACTTTCTGTACATTATTGTAACGCAGATTATATCCCGGATATTTGATTCTATACCGGTTATTCTTATAGTAAAAATTTAAGGATAATAAGAAGATTTAGAAAATTGTAAATTCTACTAGTGCATAGTTTTCATTTTCTAGTCTTCTTTTGTTTAGACCACTTGGTTTCAATATTCTAAGGCGGCGTATCCAGTATGATTCCTTTTCTTTCCTGGTTTCGGAACTCCAGCTGTGGTTGTTAGCAATAGCGATAAGTATTATATCACTGAAAGTGTGGCCAGGCGAGGAGAAGTGTTCTGCGACCGGGCTTTTGTACAGCTTTTTTGTCATCCAATCAGATCTATGAAGGTTTATCCTTTTGTGTAGCTTTTCAGTTTCTCCTACGTACTGAAGGCCACAGATCTTACATGTGATGAGATAAATCACATTATCTGTTTTGCACGTTTTGTTTGGACCGTGTATGTTTAGTTTTTCTTTAGTCACTGTGCTATATATGTGTGTTTGTGTGTGTGTATATATATGTGTGTATATATATGTGTATATATATATATATATATATATGTGTGTGTGTGTGTGTGTTTGTGTGTGTATATATATATATATATATATATATATATATATATATATATATATATATATATATATATATATATATATATATATATATACAAAGTCGAATTATACATCCATAATTTATAAACAATTTATATTACGATATTGTAATAATTGTAATATTACCATATTCGACTAATATTAACATCACTACAATATCATAAAATATTAATAATAAATAGTAAATCCTGAGTTAAAATCTTTAATATTATGTTCTACAATCCCACATAGTGTAATAACACTTATCTTACTAAGTCCACCGTACTTTATCACGTTATTCATTAACATTATTCTGCCTTTCTCCAATACAAATATAATAGATCTACTGCATAACTATGGTTATCACTGAAAGTGTCAATCAAATTTCATAAACTCAAATACTACTACTACTACTATTACTACTACTAACTACTACTACTACTACTAATAATAATAATAATAATAATAATAAAAATGTTATTATTATTATTATTATTATTATTATTATTATTATTATTAACATAATAATACTAAAGAAAATAATAATAATAATAATAATAATAATAATAATAATAATAATAATAATACTATTATTATTATTATTAACATAATAATACTAATGAAAATAATAATAATAATAATAATAATAATAATAATAATAATAATAATAATAATAATAATAATAATAATAATATTATTATTATTAACATAATAATACTAATGAAAATAATAATAATAATAATAATAATAATAATAATAATAATAATAATAATAATAATAATAATAATAATAATAATAATAATAATAATAATAATATTGACATCCTATACCAAAGTAACAACACAGAAAAAATGACAGCTGACCTCTCGGACTGTAGGATTAATTGTCCAGGGGCCACTAAGAAGCCATAAATAAGGAAGAACGGGAGGACAAGAATCATAGGAAGACCCATCCAACGCAGAAAGAATCGCCAATACGAAAAGATTTACAGAAGAAACAACGATATCAACATCAAATAATAAAAAGAAATATCAAGTTTAATTGCATTTTCGAAAAGATTATCTAACTAACCAACAACATGTTGCTTGACAAGCATCAACGGATGTGGTGTGATTATTATTTTCAACGTAGCTTTAACAATTTTTCAGTCATATCACTACGATGTCTGCAGAGTGGCAGTTTATAGTAATGTCTAGCACTGGGGCGTTATGCCGCAGACATGTAACATGATGTCCTACCAAGTCACATTATCCTGACACCAGGCCAACCAGTCCTAACACTAACCTCTTAATGCTGAGCGTCAAGCGAGGCAGCTGTTATTACCAGTTTTGTAAGTCTTTGGTATGACTTGATCGAACCCACGACCTCCCGCATCCGAGGCGGACGCTCTAACCACTAGGCCACTAGCATCAAAGGAAGAGCCAGTCCAGGAAACTCTACCTACTGTAATACAAACACCACCCTCGCGCGCGCGCACACATACACACACGCGCGCGCGCGCAAACAAGAGAAGAAAAAGCAGCGTGGCCCCTGTATGTGCTACGCGGCCCACAGAGACCCAACTACCAACCCAGAACTCGTCAGCCCACCCAGCAGACCAGTCTACTGTGGGAAATTAGTTAAATTATATTGACCGGATAATTCAAGACTGAAGCGGTTAATGACAGACTTCGTTTGGGATTAAGACAAAGAGCTTGATCGTGATGAAGAAAACGCCAAACCATGATCCAGTGAAGACCAAGCTGAAGAGCCTCGACGTATAGATATTCGGTTGGACCAGATAAGTAACTTTCAATTTGCCTTGCTTTTTAGGTTTTCACTTTGGCTGAAAAAATCTTTTTTTTTTCTTATATCTCAATTGCAAAAAACTAATTTCATTCTTTAGTACCACCGTCAAAATTTGTATCGCTTAATTTATCTGTGAGTGATACATAAAAAAATATTGTATCTGATTCGTAATAATTTTGAAAATAATATGTACACTTCTTACACTAAAATTCCAACTACAAATGATGTTAACAACGAAATTTTAAAACTATAATTATTTGATAAATTGCACAGGTGAATTACACACAATTGGAGTTAAATCTTTTCCATTAGTTAAAACTATACTGAATTTGACATAAGAACAAGTGCGGCCTGCTGTTTGGGGGATTACACGACGTCCATTGCTGAATTATTTGCACCTACTTTCCTGAGCCCTTTCCTACATTGCCTCTGCCTTGAACTAACCACTGCGGATATTGCACATCGACCAATTAAAAACCTCCTTTCATCGAGGAGTAAATAGTTGCGAGAGCCTACGTATTGGCATAAGCGACTTTAATTTGGTTATTTTGAGTCTGACTATCCATTGTTGACTCGTCAACACAAGACGATGCCTTTAAGACTAGGCAAGGTGAAGGAAACTTACTCGAATTAACACCGTGACAGGCAAATCCTGATACCGAAGCCTGGTGAGACTGAGTATACAGTCCAACGACCTTTGTACAACTAGTCAGTAAAGGAGTGCGAAGAAAAGAGTGACCGTTCATTATGAACGAATACAATGTCGATTACGATACATCCAACTCTTTTTACTTTTAAAAAAATGCTCAAAAAATGGAAATAAGACTTTTTTAAATAATGCAAAATAACTGAAAATCACATCAAGTAGCGATTTCGTTTCAATTCATCAGAAAGGCGCAGAAGTCCGTTTCACTAGAAATGAAAAACTCACTTTTTGCTTAAAAGAATCTGGCATGAGGTCTGCACACCCCGTATTTCCAAGGACCTTACTACAATAATCCTTGCCAATCGTACGGTTCTCAAAGTCGTAAATACTACGAATGTTTCCTCGAATAACCTAATGACAACACGCTCTAATTTTACACTTGTATGCGTTTCCTTGCTTCACATTCCAAGCTGAAGAGTGTTACCTTATTCCAAGCAGCACGAAACACGACCCATACCCGTAATGCAAATAATTATTCCTTTCTTAAATTACTAAACAATTATATATTAGGTTATCCAGAAAATTCATTCATTTTTTGCAACAGTGCATTGTATATGAATTATATATTTAATTGACTAATTATCTATTTAATTGACTATGTGCTTCTATTACATTCGTCAAATCAATGAAATTATGTTATGTTCTCTTCTTTATGTTAAGAAATTATGGAGGGATAATTTGACAAAACTAATTCACACAACTAATAAAGTCTTGTGAATACTTTGCATTATAATGTCTGAATGGAGAAATATCGATTGCCCATAATCACATAATTAATATAAAGTCACTAAAATCTAACAAAGCTACAAAATGAAACATAAATAGCAACAGCACATACAGGTGTGTGTGTGTGTGTGTGTGTGTGTGTGTGTCTACACCAATTGACCGCAAACATACCAAAAATAGCCAGGTCGAATTCTACTCTCAATGAGACTTCCTCTAACACAAAATTACAAAGCAGAGACGAGCAAGACTAACAAAAATCATTAGAAGGAATATTGAATTTCAACATTGCACGATTATGGAGATAATATAAACAATATTTAAAATGTTTTGATATAGCGTTTTATTGGTTTGAACTCTGATGACCTCAAAACCAACTAGATTTTCATTACATTGTTTGTCTTGTTTTGTAATTTTGCCTTTCACAAAGACTGTTAGAATCAAAAGCGCTTAGGCTCGTTAACAACCAGTCTGCATTGTTCATTACCAGCTTGATGCATTTGCATTAATTAATCCCTGACACACACAGTCCTCTGCTGGATCCAGTTTACTCGTAAGGACATTTGTTCGCCGTATGATTTGTATTACATTGATACATACATACATACATACATACATACATACATACATACATACATACATACATACATACATACATACATACATACATACGCTCTACTGGAAATTAAAGCTGTGGAAGATCGAACAATTAGTGTTAAACAAAATAAATTAAAAGAGGATTGTATAAACACATGCGCCGTATTTTAATTGGCTCGTTTCTTATTGTTATCAAAATTATTCTTGTGAAGTAATTGAAAAGCGAAATGATTTAATAGTGATGTAACTGTGAGTTTACTATCAATATTTATGTAATATTTCATATTAATCATTGTAAGCGATAGTGACATAATAACGTTTCATTTGTACATTTTTAGATAACGACGGCAAGCTGTTAATACGTCAGACCGATTTATCTGTTGTTGATACAGAGTATATGGCGGGACTGAAATAAATGTTTGAATCGTAAAAAAATAAATAAAACATGCAGCAAAAAAGGAGATTTTTCACTGTTCTAATTGGAATATTGTGTGCTAATTTTCTCAAGTATATATTGTTTAAAAAATGGAAAATGTGGTGAACCAATATCTAGCCTATAAGACGTATGTATAAATTTGGACAAATATTGCAAGCCAATGTAGTACTGTGTCTGAACTAAACTCCCGGGTATAACATCGTGGGGTGGCGAATCAGTTGTTATTATAGAGTTGTAGAGGTTAACGACAAATTTTAACACAAGATAGGCTATACATGGCGGAGGAAAAGCAGGGAAATCCCCGTAAAGAACAATCGACTCACGAGAAGCAAATGGCAAACTTTCTCACGTACCAACATTGGCCGAGTCCGAGACTCGAACCCACGCTGATAGAGGTGAGACGGCAGTTATCCTTAAAGGTAAGCCCTTTAGACAACTTAGCCACTCGGGGCCATAAAGGGGGCGGGGATTAGTAAGCTGTTGTAGTCTGGAAGGAGGGAGGAGTGAATCGAGGGGATAGATTTTATATATACATTGCTATGAGCAATCATCTAATACCTTTGGCATATACCAGTTAAATTGCTTGTATAAAGTTATAATTCAATCAACACTAATATTAGTATTAATAATATTTTGAATTGCATACGGAATGGCAATGATATTTACCTCTGTGATTTAGATTTTTAACCGTAGTTTTAACAATTTTTCATTCATATCACGACGATATCTGCAGTAAGGCAGTTTATGTGGCATGATGTCCCACCCAGTCACATTATCCTGACACCAGGCCGTCTAGTCCTTACACTAACCTCTTAACGCTGAGCGCCAAGTGAGGCAGCTGTTAATACCATTTTTGTAAGTCTTTGGTATGACTCGGCAGGGGATCAAACCCACGACCTCCCGCATCAGACGCAAACGCTCTAACAAAATAGGCCGCCGAAGCGGTCGGCATCAATATTAGTAATTCGCATTTTTTTATTTGTTTGTTGTATAAATGATGACTTTTTTTAAAAAAAGCAAAAGGCGCATTTTGAGTATTTAGAAAAACGCGAAAAGTTACAGCGTTTGGATAATTGTATTTTATATATACGTTCTCACTTACAATTAAATGTTGTTTACTGTCAGTTATTATTTTGTTGTTTTTTTCTTCTAACTGCTTTTATTGTATTGTATCCCTAAAAACACACACAACCACCACCACTGAACTGAGATTAATGCATGTCTCTACTGTCTCGCTAAGCATTTCCTAAGGTAAGATCGTCTTCACAGCAAACAACAACTCAGGTCCCATTAAATGTAACTATAACAGGCATAAGCCACGTTACACAAAGTTTATGATTTGAGGCGACGATATTACAGTGAAAATTGTCAACTCCCCATTGTTCTCGCTTTCCTACCTGACAATAAGCAGCCAAAATAGACCTTAAAAAACGCCTAGGCAGGTGTCCGTCGCAGGTGGAGAGTGACATGAGCGCGCGCGCCTTGACCCTGCGACAGGTGATTCCACAAGTAGAAAGAACTTAATGCATGAATAGTACCATAATTAACGACATTCTTTCTCTTCAGCCTAGGACGGAATAAAGGCGGACCATTAATAACACCTTAACTGTCGAGATTCACCTGTTCTCCGAGGGGAACGATTCGTGGTACAAAACAATAGCTTTATCTCGAGAAGGTGCTAAAAGCTCGAAATGAATTGAAGAGGTGAGATACGGGTCCAGTGTGGAGGGGCCCATTTAGCTCTCGAACGTTATCTGTATGACCCTAACAACTCAAATGGCTTTGACCCATGTGGATATTCATCTCTGGTATTGTACTATTTAGAGAGAATGATGATAAATTAAAAAATAAATAAATAAATATCACTCCTATCCCTACTCCATTACTACTACTATTACTACTACTGCTTTTACAACCACCTCCACCACCATCTTTATTCCTGCTGTAACTTCGAATGATGATGAACCAGTAAAAGACTATGAGTGCCAATTTAAAATCAACCACAATGAAATTAATATGAAGAATAGAACATATCTTTAATCAAATTAGCATATTTTTTGTGTATAATTCGTATATACACACATCCTGGTTTTGTGTCTATTTCAGCTAAACCCATATCTTGTTTTGTGTTTATTTCATCTAGGTCCACCCGCATCTTGTTTTT